ACTCTCAAAGCCGTGATTCCCATTCACTTCCATTATATGACTGACAGACTGCAACGGTTTGAGTTAAAAATCTTCGTTTGTGTTCTACTGAAGAAACAAAGTCACCTACATCTTGGATGCCCTGGGGGTAAGCAGATAAACATAAAATTTTCATTTTTGGGTGAACTATCCCTTTAAGAATTATTGTTTGTGGTACTTACATACTTTTATCATTTCTAGTTTTATTTTAATGTTTTATTGTCACTGAGCAGTTGCAAGCTAGTCTTAGTCAAGCTTTGTGTGTGTGCGTGTTTGTGAACTGTTACATGCTAAATGGTAAGGATCAGGCTGGGCCATAAAATCTCATTGACTGTTTTGTTTTTACATTTATTCAGTTTTGTACCATTTTCACTGCATGAGACCAAGTCTACCACGTCTAATTTTATAATTCTATTTCATCTGTTTTGTTTTTACCATCATCTGCTGTGTAAACTCAGAACTACAGTGTGTTTTGTTTAAGGTATTTTGTCCCCCTCTAATATGTGCCGTCATGTACACCTGTGCCATAAACAATATTTATTTTAAGAAAATGAAACCTTAATGGGTGTCATCGAGCAGCTTTAAAAGAGTAGTGTTAACGGGCTCAGCTTCACAGTCTGTACGTACAGTTCACTGCCATTCAACAATAAAAATCCATGAGCATATACTTTCAGACCTGTGTGTATTGACAAGACTGATGGGCACATCATATGTTGGGCTTTTTTATGTAAAACTTGTTTTTAAATGTTATTTAGCATGTTTTCTTCTATGCCCACAGATCTTGAAAGATAAATAGGCAGCTTATTACCTGAGTTATGTTCATTTTTGTCTTGCTTTTGTTTATTTACATGATTTTGATGGACAGCTCAAGCCATACTAGCTTAAGCGGAGCGCAGAGCAGTGACGTAACAATAATAAACAGCGTAACAGCTGAAGAATTATGACCATAAATCCGCGTGTAATATTTGCCCCTCCGTATTTTCACCATCCACCATCAATGAATGATATTAATTATTTTTTTCAATTCAGTAAGCAAAACATAATCTTCATCTGTGTTAAGTGGTGCAGAAATGTTTCTAATATATTTAATTCATTATGATTTCGTGTTATTGTACCTTATTAGTTCAGTTCAATGTCCTGATTTTATAGAGAGAATTACATGCATTATATTAGAATATAAGAATATATACTGTATATGTTTGACGTAGAGATGATTCTATTCTTATTCTTTACTGTATTTGAATGGTCCTCTAAGCCAGTCTGTGCTCTATATGTATGAAACATTGACGTACTGTACAAACTCCAGACGTGAACAGAGCAATTGCAATGTTTTATAATCAACAGAGAGAGTTACAAACCCGTCATGTTGCTGGCCAACCACTGATGTCAGGAGAGCTTTCAGAGACATGCGTTTGAGTGCGGTGACCATAAACATTTATAAAGAGACACATTTATCAAAGTCTACAATGCATGTTAAAATATCTAGCTCTTGTTTCTGTGATAGTATGTTACAGGTTGAACAAGTTAAAGATACTTGCCAGATCTTCAGACTCTTGCGCGTGCCATTCTTTTCCCGCGGAATTGGGCTACTTTAACACTGTTGCCGCGAGTTGTTTTTCATGCCTGTGGGTTAAAGCAACCCAATAACGTGACATTTAGTCCCTGGAATGCGAATTCTACCAGGGTAACCTCACCAAAAAAGGTGTATTTTACCCCCTGGAACGCAATTTTTTACCGGGGGAGCCCCTCGAAACGCAATTGGGCTAGTTTTGAGTAGCAATTCAGCGGGTTTTTGTTATGAAAACCTGGCAACCCTGATGCGTGGTTAACGAGTGCTAGTGCAACGAGACTAACATATTGTTCATTACAATGTTTTAGACGGTTTTTAATTCTGTTATTCGCAAACACTGCCACGACACGTTATCCTTAGAAAGTATACTAATGTTAGCAACGGTCTCCTGAAGTGTCGGAGAGGCGCAGTTGTGCTCTCCATGTGTCTGGCGATTTATTCATGACCACTTAAGTAAAAACAGAAACGTAAAACCCACTCAAACGTGTTAAACACTTTTGGTTTGCCACTGAGAAGAAAAAAAACCTCTCTGTTGAACACAACAACAGCTCAGTATGTTGTTATTTGCCTTCAAGTAGTATGGTCTGTATTTCTGTTGTGTTTTGTTTTGTAGTTTTTGATAAAGCAGATAAATGTGCTTTCCCTGCAACTTTGTGTACAGTGATTTGCTCATTTGTAAATGGTTAATAAAGAGGAAAGCTCAGTATATATGTAAGTACATCATGATCTCTTCCTCCTTGCTGTTTGAACTTCCTTTTCATGTCAGATGCAGATTTTTATGATGACAGAAACAGTTTTGTGTCCATTTTAGATGGAAAAACACAGCATGGTTTTAGATGTACAAATACAAAGAAACCATGGTGCATCTCTCCAAGAAAATGATGACAAATGTCTGAGAAGAAAGTGGCCCCATTGGTTGAGGTACATCCTGCACAACTGTAGTCTGCATTTTCGCCTGTGTAGAAATTCATCACCTCTTGTTATTTTTTCTGTCTTGACTTTGCCACTCACTTCCTCAGCTCATGAAGATCTGCTGTTTCTCTACAGCCTGACAAACATGCTGCATGTAGGAACTTCAAAATAACTGTTGGTTTGCTCACACAAACACTGCAGGCGAGCCGAGGGGCAAGATTGAACGTGTTTGGAAGTGTAAAAAAAAGAAGAAGAAGAATCAGATCAGCAGAGGAAGGAGGAAGTAAAGAGAAGAAGAGGGGCTGACTGGAAAGAATGTACTCTTAGTTGACTGTGTTTTGTGATTGTTTTTGTGTGTGTGCGTGTGAGTGAGAGAATGTGTGTGAGTGTGTCTGTGTGTGTGTAACCTTTTGGTCCGATTTTGAAGAAATGTCTCTGAGACTACCTCGCAACTGGGACTTCAGCACCTTCAGAGCTGAAACTGCCAAGATAGGTGAGTGCCACTGTGTGTGGTCAAAGGTCAAAGTCTTTTCCGTGTTTTAGGAATTTCACTTGGCCAGGTGGGTAGATTTATGTGCGATTCTTTGTATTCAATGACACAACAGGCCTCCTGTCACTAGGAACTAGAGGTTTGGTCTATACTGACGCATGTAAAGTATGGCTTTTATGTAATGGGAAATGTAATTGACTGGGCAGTGATGGTGCATATGTGTTTAATCTAATTTAGAGGAGTATCTGTAAATGACAGACAAAAGTGGTATAGTGATGGTGGAGGATTCACCCTGAGGCTATATAATTCACTTGGGCACTTCTCATCTGCTCCGTGCTTTCCTTGTAATTCTGTTGAATCCCTGACACAACTTTTGATGTGTTGTATAGTCATTGTGACAAGATTATTTGTAGTACTTCCTTTCTAATTTGACTAAATGTTCTCCTTAATCTCTAGGCTGTTTAAAAACTCTAAAGTATGACTTCCAGCAGATGTATGGAGCAATCAGGTATAAAAAGAGGCAGGTTTATGGTTGTATGCGGTGACTCGTGGCGTTTCTGGTCTCGGTTTGCACCGTCTGTTGGAGATGCAAAGCATTAGTGATTTCCTCTGTGTGTAATCTTCACATGCTGCAGGCAGGAAGACGCTGCGACACTCTGAGAAGCACATTCATTCTCTGCTCAAAATGTCAGCATACTGTAAATGCTAGATAGTTATCTACTATGCGGCCTATTACAAGGTCTTTAGTTAAGGCTCTCTCAGCAGTATCCTAGGTTAAGGGAGCAAGTGTTTCTCGCAGTATGATAGTTTTCGGATGGCTTTAGATTGCTCTAATTATATAAAGTGTATTGTTAGTCGATATTTAGATGACACTATTTATTCAAAGCATCGTACAGCCTCATTTTTTAAAATGCAGCCAAGACAATGTTCATAACTAGGGATTTTTACACCTTGGTTACTTTTGCCATCATTTAATGCTTCCTTAATTTTTTTTTTTTTTTTTAATATTAATGACATTTTTTATATTTAGCAGACACTTTTTATTCAAAGCATCTTGTAGTACATCCTAATTTTTTAAA